TCTTACCCTCATTGTAGCTTCCAACTGGAAAAAAATCAAAGGTGCTCTTTCTCCTAGAATTACTTCATTGAAGCATTGATTCTTAGGATCCCAGATAAATTCTTCTACCTGGACAAATGTCAGAGCTACAAAATGTTTTCTGCACCAGAAAAATCCGGAAGTGTGATAATATTTTCGAAGATTTTTTCAGTGTTTCCCAAATCCTTTCCAGTCATTTTACACTTTTGTTATCTTGTCAAGCCTCCTCTTCCTGGATCTCTGAGATTTCACTTTCATGCCTTCTTTTCCACATAATGGAGACTAAACCTTTGCACCTTGTTATTGTTGTTAAGTGCTCACGAGTCAGTTCTGACTCATATCGACACTGTATGGGATTTCCGATGAGCGGCTGGTGGGTTTGAATTGCCAACCTCTCGGTAAGCAATCCAGTACTTATCCTACAGAACCATACTAGTACTCGCTTATGACTTCCTAAGCTATTTCTGTACTTCTTATGTTTCAGTGGATTTGTTATTCAACTTCTCTATCAGTTAATTGGGGAAGCCAGTGTGTACCTGCCAAGTAATATTGATCTTTAGGAAAGGGGACTACTGTTAAGTTTGTCACAACATGTAAGAATTAAGTTTTAGTGGCTGAAGTATTTCCTCTTCTTCTATGTCCTTAATCCTACATGCAACAGAGAATTTATTTTTCTGCTATTATCCATTCCAGTCGGATCGCTACTGACATCAGCAATATAAAGAACCTTGGGAGAGATAAGTAGGTTCTGGAGAAATTCTATGGATATCACATTTTGTTAACTAGGTACTTCATCAAACTTCCCAGTTCTCCCCATTATAGAAGCCACCACATGCACAGTAGGATATTCGTTGGCCTGCTAAGCACAAAGTTAGCATTCAAACCCACCAGCTGCTCTGCTGGAGAAAGAGAAGGTTGTTTGCTCCATAAAGACTGACAGGATCAGAAACCCTGTATGGAGTCACTGTGATGTGATGGCAGCGGCTTTTGTGGTTGGGGTTGTCAGTCCTTAAATACTCCCATTTGCTCTCTTTCTAACCTCATTTATCTATTCATTCCTTTATTGAAGAACTCATCATATTCTGAGTAACTACACTGGGTAAAAGCACCAAACATCTGTTGAAATAAGTCCCCCGTAATGATCATTGGTCTCTAACTACTTGTCACCTTAGAGAACACTCATGGTCTCATTAGGCCTTCAGAGTTGATACTTGATAAATGCCTCAATGTGCCTCCCAGAGGATTTGAATTTTCTGTAGACATATACTCGTTTTGGTGAAAGAATGTTGATATTTTAGTAGAAAGGAAGGTGGTCATTATTTTTTAATATGCTTGCATTCAAATGTATACTCTAATTCTCTTAAGACAGTGTTTGAAGAAAGCACATTAAATTCTGAAACAAATTTATCTTTTTGTTTTATGTACTTACTGTGCAAAGTAAATTGGCAAAATAAACATCTTTGAGAGATTACCCTAAACTACTCCTTCTACCCCAGAATTACACAGGATCCCCCTATTCTCACACCTATTTCTATGTCTGGAATCACTCAGGAAAACTTTGAGCTGAATTGAAGACCCCATGTTCCTGCTCTAAGGTAAGTGGACAGATATTGGAATTTTCATTTCAACATTTACTTAAAGATTAGCATAAAGAAATTGTCTTGTCTTGAATTAAGGCAACAAAAAGTCTGTGTGTAGGGCCTAAGGGAGGATGAGTCATAAATTCACACAATGAGGTTGTCACCGATTTCTGATAGATTGTAGAGCTTCTCTTCCACAATAAAGGTTTTCAGATTTGGGTCCCTTAATTGGAAGCTTCTCCAGTGTCTCTGAAGATGTTGAGATGTTCTCAGACTCAGAACTGGATCATCATGGGCAGGTCTCTATTACAGAATAAACATGGAAAAAATAGACTAAGTTCTCTAATTTGCATATTAAATTCTAAATTCTTTTGTAATGTCCTTATTCTTGTAGGAAATTACTTTTGGCCACTCTATAAGGGGCCTTCAAAAACACTATGGAAGACTGAATGAAAACTTTTTAGGATTTTTCCACAAATTATTGAAGCCCCCTCATATTATTTTCTTAGTGGGTTGTTGTTGTTGTTATGAGATGCTTTTAAAAGCATTTTACAAACTCTGAAAGAAAACTGACTTTTCCAGGTGGCAGATCTTCATTGCTAAATCTTAATTGATTTGGAACAGCCCAATGGGCCACATATTACATACTGTATAGAACTCATGGGTAATTCAAATATGTGTTCTAAGTAAGGAGCTTAGGAATGGTATGAATATTTGAAAAAACTACCAGGCAGGGTGGCTAAGGTGGAGAAGAAGTTCATGGACTGGGAAATTTACTTTCTGAGCAGAATTGTGCGGTTGTATTATAAGTCCTAGAGTCCTGGTATGGTGCTGTGGGTTAATCCACAGGACTGCAAAGTTGGTAAAGACCACATGGTTGGTGGTTCAACTCACCAGTCACTCCTCAGAAACCCTATATAGGATCATTATGGCTTGGAACTGACTCAATGGTACTTAAAAACAACAACAATTATGAGTCCTTTGAAAGACACCAGGATTAGATTTGCCTAGTGACTCGAGAGCTAGAAATTCCAGGAGAGAGCCACATTTTATGAGACATGACAGAGTGACTATAAGCAGCAAAATAGCCACGAGGGCTCAGAGTAGGGCCAAGTCTGAATGTGTAACCATTGATCAGAGTTCCAATAGCAGATGAGGAAATAGTCGAGAAGGATTGCTCACACCTGCATAACAGAGAATAGTCACTGAGGTAGGTGCATTCGTACAATAGTTCATCAAATGTATTGTGCAGAGCAGTCTTCAACTTCTTGCACAGCACAGTGCCTTACAGAAAGCAAAATCTCAGTGATGTTCTTTGACTGACTTTAGTCTAAATGGATGGATACATATTATACAAAATGTGGAGTGCACCCCTGAAGCAGAGAGTCAAAGATCTTAGGTGACATGGCAGAATCTAAACTGTCTGTGAGTCTATACAACAAAACGAGTGACTACTCCACCTCCCTTCTTTCACTCCTCATTCACGCCCTTTTGATGGTTGAACCTATACTACAACTTGAGATGTGACTTTTGACATCGAGATAATTCTCAAAAGTTTTTATTAATAGTCTGCCCAGCTTTTTTGTCTTTTTTTCATTTAGCAATTATTCATTGAGGGTCTGTTATTCATTGCTCAATATGTGAGTGAGTATGTGTGTGTTTAGTGGTAATAGAAAGAGCTAGTACATTCCCTGCCCTCTTTGACACATTACCATTGGAGATACAAGAAGCATACCACACACACAGTTCACTAAATGCCAATGTAAGATGCTAGTAGAAATGATGGCCCAAACGTACAGTGTGATAATAAACAGAAAAGGAAAGTAAATATGGTTTTAAATGTTTTAGAGAAAGGGGAAACAATGTTAGAATCAACTCTCCATCTAGAAATTGATGAATTAGAATCCTGAATTAATTTATTTAACTTCATATCTATCATCTAAAAAGAAATAGGATTAATAATGCTTCCGTTAGCTCTTCATATAAAACAAAGAAGTAAATTGTCAGAGAAAATACTAAATAAAGAAGGAAGTTTAAAGTAAATAACATGCTAATCACTTAATAGTAATGTGAAATACATAAACCTGAACAAAGATGGGGAAACAGAAAGGCTCAAGAGGTGATGAGGAGCAAACAGAGATATCTAGCCTCAGGAGTTGAGAATCTGGAGAACCATGGACGATGATGTGGAAAGATGGTTAATGCCTTAAAATATTAAAGGAGGAGTTTGATTCTAACAATTGTGTTGTTGTTGTTACATACCCTCAAGTAGGTTCTGACTCATAGCAACTCCACATAGCATTGTAGTAGGAAAGAACGTTCTTCTTGTACATTAAGTAAGGCAGATTCAAATCCTTGCTATTCAAAACAGATCAATGTGGGTCTCACAAGGTATATAAACATTGGCTTTAGAATACCTCATGTATGAAAAGAGTTTGGTAGTCTCTTTTCTCACTACTTCTCATCCCCAAACACACACCCTGGTTCTTATACCTACATCATTCAACATGTTCCTAGTGGAAAATATATGAAAATATGAAGATCCACTGCTAAGCAAATACTAATATTAATGAGTTAATGAAACATTGGATCATAATAGATTTTTAAAAGACCTACTGCCATCAAATCAATTCTGACTCATAGCCACCCTGTTGAGTTTCTGTGGTGGTACATCTTTATGGGAGAAGAAAACCTCATCTTTATCCTGCAGCACAGCTGGTGGGTATGAATTGCTGATCTTGCAGTTCGCAGTCCAGTGCTTATCCTATAGCACCACTACAACTTCATTGAATGGGTGATTGAGATGAGCAAAGACTGGTCCCAGGCTTTCCAAGGCGTCTGCAAGAATTCCTAAAAGATGCCGAGGAGTGTTGTGGAACACAAGAGTCTCATCTGTTGGAGCTGGTGTCATTTAGTCAAGGGGCAGTTCTCCAGCTGGGCCCTCATGGTGCAAGGTTAAGAACTTAGCTGTTAATTGAGAGATCAGCAGTTTGAACCTCCAGTTATTCTGAGGGAGAAAGACATGGCAGTTACTTCCATAAAGGTTATAATCTTAGAACATCTACATGAAGTTCTATTGATAAGGTTGCTTTGAAATTAATCAATTCTACAGAAATTAGTTCTCCAACAGAACTTTATAGTTAATGATGTCATCACTTACTGTTCTTTTCAGGAAAGAGCTTAGTGGGACTGAAAGAGCTCAGAGATGCTGCAGTAGAAATCCAGGGAGGAAGCACACATTGAACCATTAAGAGTAGTTATAATAGTTATGACAATGAAGATGCAATCATGCAGAAAACGATATAGAGTAAAAGAACATGCTAATATCTTCTGGCAACTGTTGTAGAAAGGACAGCTTTCAGTCCTCTTCCTTTTTTTGTTTCTAAAACACAGTGGTTATCAATGGCCTTAGGGAATCATAGCACCGTCACAGAATTTTTCCTCCTCGGGCTGTCTGCTGACCCCACAATCCAGGCTCTGCTATTTCTGCTGTTCCTGAAGATTTATTTCCTGACACTCATGGGGAACCTGATGATGATACTTGTGATCCATACAGATTCTAAACTCCACACACCCATGTACTTCTTCCTGAGTCATCTGTCCTTCCAAGACCTCTTCTATTCTTCAGTTACAGTGCCCAAGATGCTGGAGAACCTCCTGTCTCAGACGAAATCCATCTCAGTAGAGGGTTGTCTGGCTCAGGTCTTTTTTGTGATTGCCGCTACAGGAACTGAGGCCTGCCTGCTCTCGGTGATGGCCTATGACCGCTATGCTGCCATCTGCCACCCCCTGCTCTATGCACAGATGATGAGTAAACAACTGTGTGTGAATTTAGTGTGGGGATCTTGGTTTGTGGCCCTTCTGGATGCAATCATCAACACTCTTCTGGCTTTGAAGTTGGACTTCTGTGAGCTCCAAACCATTCACCACTACTCCTGTGAGCTGCCCTCCCTCCTCCCTCTCTCCTGCTCTGATACAACCACCAATGCTGCCATGCTGCTCTGCTCTGCCCTCCTGCATGCCATTGGAACCTACCTCCTGATCTTCTTCTCCTATGCCCGTATTGTCTCCACCATTCTGAGCATTAGTTCCACCTCTAGCAGAAGAAAGGCTTTCTCCACCTGCTCCTCCCACCTCACTGCAGTGAGCTTATTCTATGGCTCATCTATTGTCCGTCATCTCATGCCAACCTCAGGCTCCCTACTGGAATTGATCCTTTCCATGCAATACAGTATAATCACTCCACTAGTCAATCCTCTGATCTACAGCTTGAAGAACAAGGAGGTGAAAGCAACTCTGAGAAGAATGATGTCAAGATCTTTACAGTGTGTCTGACAATGCTGTTGTTGTTTTAAGTGCCTTCGAGTCCTCAAATGGGTTCTGACTCATAGTGACCCTGTATAGGGTTTCTGAGTGGCAGCTGATGGGTTTGAACCACTGACCTTGCAGTTAATAGTCCAGTGCTTATCTTACAGTTCCACACAAAGAATCATTACAAAAGAGATTTAAAAAGACGTAGGATGGAACTGCAACAAAACATCTAATGCTTAATATTAAGAACTTCCTCATTGCCTAATTTGTCTCTTATTGTAAGATATAACTGATTCACCCTTGTTAAAAATTATCCAGAAAAGTACTGGGAGGTATTTTGCTTGCCAGGGCTCAGAATCTATCTTATTCAGAAATAGACCAACAAGTTGGAAAACTCTCAGTTTCAGAGATTTAGTCAGTGACATGTCTATGCATTACAATGGCATATAAATATATCTGAAAATATTAGTATTGACCTTGAATACTTTGTGTCCTAATTTTTTGTTTTAATTAATATGTGTGGGAAAGGATTATCTAGGTAAAATGAGCTCGCATCTCTGAATAAAGATAAACAAAGATTTGAGCTTCAGGCTGTAGAGCAGGGGTGAGGAACATCCAGCTCACAGGGGATATGTTGTTACTGTTAAGTACCATAGAGTCAGTTCTGACCCATAGTTACCCTGTGTAGGGTTTCAAAGGAGCAGCTGGTCAGCTTGAACCGCCTATCTTGCAGTTCTAACCACTTTGCAGTCTGACGCATTAACCCACAGCACCACACCAGGACTCTCTTGAAATAATTTGGTCTGGCCCTGTCAAGGAAACCTCAGTTCCAGCCATCACAATAGGTGAATTAATTAATTGTTTAATCAAATATTAGCAGGCTAGTTTTCATGTTTATAATTTTGCATGACCCTCTAATGATGTTATAAAGATCCAATGGCCCTTGGCAGAACAAAATGTTCCCCACCCCTACTATTGGCGTTCTGGGGTGGTGCTGAGGGCTAATGTGTCAGAGAGCAAAGTCATTTAAAGTGAAAGTTTGGTGGTTCAAGCTCACCAGCTGCTCCTCCTTGGAAACCCTATACAGGGTCACTATGGGTTGGAATTGACTCGATGGCACTTAACAACAACAACAAGTTGTATTAAAAGACATAGTTTGTGTCATTAATCTATCATTCTTTTAAATTAACTTTAGGGAATATCCTAAAAGCCATACATTTGATAAGAGTATAAAGTTCTGGATCTATAAGAAAGAAAATGATAGACTAGGTAGATGTGGAGGAAGACAAATTTTTCCAACTGGATGGCCATAGAAGACAGGCATAAAAAACAAAAAGTTCTACAGGGAGGAACAGTCAATATATTGAGGCAGATCTCAGAGTCAGGAAAAATTTCAAGAACTTTGCTATTATGTATATAGCATGTTGAACAGATCTCTGGTATGAAAGGCTGCAAGGAATCTGTATAGCTCCAGAAATTTCATTTTTTTCATTCACCATGTACCCCAAACCAAAGCCACTGTCATTGAGTTGATTCCAATTCATAAAGTCCTGATAAAGACATCTGATATTCATTTTGCTTTTGTCTTCTTTTTGTAAATTGAACACTGTATTCTAAAATAGTGATTTTTAAAAATACAGTCTGGTGATATAACTTTGCTAGTTGCAAAGATAACTGAAAATATACACAATACTATACAGAAAGAATGGAGCGTCATAGCCTCATAAGATAAGCACTGTACTATGAGCCACAGGGTCAGTGGTTCAAGCCCACCAATCACTTCACAGGAAAAAGATGAGGCTTTCTGCTCCTACAAAGACTTAAAAAGCCATTAGAATTTTATATAAGATCACTATGAGACAGACCACTCATGAGACAGACCACTCATCTGTCAATTTGTCATACTGTGAAGGCTTGCACGATGTGGTGATTCTGGAAGCTATGCCACAGATATTTTAAATAATAATAGGGTCACTCATTATAGACAGATTTTAGCTGCCTACGGAAAAAGGGGAGCTGGACTACTTCCTTATAAATAGCAGTGGAACACTGTCAGCACCAGGATACCGAATATCGAAACATGATGAAGAGCACCAGAATATTGTCAGATATAGTGCTAGAAGATGAGCCCTTCAGTTTAGAAGGCACTCAAAATAAGCCTGGGGAAGAGCGGTCTCCTCAAAGTAGAGTTGACCGTAATGATGAGAATGGAGTAAAGCCCATGGGATCTTCACTTGCAGATGGGACACAACTCAAAAGGAAGAAAAATAGCTGTAAATATCCATTAAATTGGAACACGGGATGTACGAAGCATGAATCTAGAAACATTGGAAATTGTCAAAAATGAAACGGAATGCATAAACATCGATATTCTAGGCATTAGTGAGCTGAAATGGACTGATATTGGTCATTTTGAATCTGAGAATCTTGTGGCTTATTATGCCTGGGATGATAAATTGAAGAGGAATGGCATTGCATTCATTATCAAAAAGAAAGTATCAACATCTGTCCTGAAGTATAACACTGTTTGTGACAGGATAATATCCATATGCCTACAAGGAAGACCAGTTCATACTACTATTATTCAAATTTACACATCAACCACTAAGACCAGTGATTATGAAATTGAAGAATTGTACCAACTTCTTCTGTCTGAAATTGATCAAACATGGAATCCAGACGTATTGATAATTACCAGCGATTGGAATGCAAAGGTGAGAAACAATGAGGAAGGATCAGTAGTTGGAAAATATGGCTTTGGGGATAGAAACCATGCTGGAGATCACATGATAGAATTTTGCAAGACCAATAACTTCTTCACTGTGAATATCTTTTTAAACTACATAAAAGATAACCATGCACATAGACCTCACCAGATAGACTACACAGAAATCAAATGGGCAACCTCTATGAAAAGAGACAGTGGAAAAGCTCCATATCATCAGCCAAAACAAGCCCAGGTGAAAACTGTGGATCTGACCATCAAATGCTCATATACAGATTCAGATTGAAGTTGAAGAAAATAAAACAAGTCCATGAGAGCCAAAATATGGCCTTGAATGTATCCTACCTGAAGAACAGATTTGATGCATTTGACACTAAAAACCGAAGACCAGAAGAGTTGTGGATGACATCAAGAACATCATACAGGAAGAGGTCATTAAGAAGACAAGAAAGAAGGAAATGACCAAAATGGATGCCAGAAGAGACTTGGAATCTTGCTATCTAGCATAGAGATGCAAAAGCAAATGGAAGAAGTGAGGAAATATAAGAACTGAATGGAAAATTTCAAAGGCCAATTCAAGAAGATGAAGACAAATATAAAGAAATGTGCAAAGACCTGGAGTTACAAAACCAAAAGGGAAGAACACAATCAGCATTTCTCAAGCTGAGGAAAGTGAAGAAAAAAATTCAAGCCTTGACTTACGGTACTGAAGGAGTCTATGGATAATATATTGAATGATATAAAATGCATTAAAACATGAGGTAAGATAGACCTCTGTCGACCTTGAGATGAGAGAGAAGTGAAAGAGCTAGTTGGTCCAAAATTTGGGGAGACTTGGGAACTCCTAAATCCATGGACAATGACATAACCAAGGAGGGCGTCAGCTGAGAGTGAAGCGTCCAACTGATACGAAGTGGGGAGAGATTCACAAGAACACCCAAACTTTGACCTAGCTTCAATGGCTTAATGATCATAACTTGACTATAGGAAGATAAAGAAATTTAAAAGAAAGCAAGTGTAAATTGATAAAATTTGATGAACTTGACCTATACTTATGGATGTAGTAGCTTAAAATACCAAACGTGAAGGAAGAAGACTTTACATGAAGTATCAAACCTATCACCTCTGTTCACAGGGTTGATAGGGACAGGCAACTTAGACACTGACTACCTAAAATGGGGGTTGTTATTGTTGTTAGGTACCATCGAGTCGGTACCAACTCATAGCGATCTTATGCACAGCAGAACAAAACACTGCCCAATCCTGGGCCAATCTTACCACTGTTGCCATGCTTGAGTCCATCGATGCTGCCACTTGGCCAATCCATCTCGTTGGGGGTCTTCCTCTTTCTTTGACCTTCCACTTTATCAAACATGATATCCTTCTGCAGTGATTAGTCCCTCCTGACAATATGTCCGAAGCATGAGAGACAAAGTTTGTCCATCTTAGCCTCCAAGTCCAGCACTCTGGCTGGACTTCTTCCAAAACAGATCTATTGGTTCTTCTGGCAACCAACGGCACTTTCAATATTCTCCTCCAACACCTAAACTCAAATGCTTCAATTCTTCTATGGTCTTTTTTATCTATCTTTCACATGCATATGAGATTATTGAAAATACCATGGCTTGGGTCAAGCACACCTTGGTCTTCAAGCTGACATCTTTGCTCTTCAACACTTTAAAGCGGTCTTGTGTAGCAGATTTGCCTAATGCAATACGTCGTTTGATTTCTTGACTGCTGCTTCCATGAGTGTTGATAGTTGATCCAAGAAGAATGAAATCCTTGACAACTTCAATCTTTCTCCGTTGATAAGAATGTTGATTATTGGTCCAGTGGTGAGGACTTTTTTCTTTATATTGATTTGTAATCCATAGTGAAGGCTGTGCTCTTTGATCTTCATCAGTAAATGTTTTAAGTCCTCTTCACTTTCAGCAAACAAGGTTGTATCATCTGCATATCTCAGGTTTGTTAATGGTCTTCCTCCAATCCTGATGCCATTTTTTTCTTCATATGACCCATCCTCTCGAATTATTTGCTCAGCATACAGGTTGAATAAGTATGGTGAAAGAATACAACCCTGTAGCACACCTTTCTTAATTGAAAACCATTCAGTGTTCCCATGTTCTGTTCAAACAACTGTCTCTTGGTCCAGGTACAGAGTCCTCATGAGTACAATTAAGTGTTCCGGAATACTCATACTTCACAATGTTGTCCATAGCTTGTTATGATCCACACAATCAAAAGCCTTTGCATAGTCAACAAAGCACAGGTAAACATCTTTCTCTGATATTCTCTGCTT